TTACGCTCCAAGAGATAAAATTGTTGTACATGAGTGTACAGTGCTGTAGTACATTTATAATATAAATTTTTTCAACTGCATTTTTGGGTAGATTTATAGATTTCTTCATTTTATTTTCATCCATTTACATGCACACACCATACTAAAAGAAACATAAAAGAATAAATGACCTTGAGTGCAAAGCTGCCGTGCACATGTACTAATTTGATTGATACTAAAATTGTTATGTCTGAGTGCAGAATTATAGCATGTTTATATTCAAATTAATCAGTATCTTACAAGAATCCCCAACAATGTTTATTATATTCACCCAGGTCATGTCGCGGCTTTTATAAGAGAAGCTTAGTCGCCAAACTGATAAATATACAGGTACGCGCGTTAGACCTTAGGCCAGTGCCAACTCTCAAGCGATACTACACCTCCCCTCCGCCAAGCTCCTCCCTCCCTCCTCCTCCTCCCTCCCTCCCTCCTCCTCCCTCCCTCCTCCTCCCTCCTCCCCTCCCTCCTCCCTCCCCTCCCTCCTCCATCCTCCTCCTCCCCCAACTGCCCAACATTGCTGGAATCCTTGTAAATGGTGAATATTTTAACTATAAGCGTCGTGTATTTTGAGATAAAATTAATCACCTGTATCACATTACAGTAGTGATTTAAGTGTATAGCGTTTATATCATTGTATAGTATTCACATACATTACAGGTCAGGTAGTTCTGCTACTTGCGATAATTGTGTTCTTGTAAAATATCGTGTTATAGAAAATCAGCGTAATAGAAATAACAGGGCTTATGGAAAATAGGGTTAGGTGCAGATTACTCGAAATCGAGAAAAATTTAGTATTTAGCCTAACACAAAGGATAGCACAGTCTAAATAAATGTTACATTCATATCTAATAATGAAATCATACAGTAAATTTAACACTTTACCTTGAAAAAATATAGATGTAACTTGATGGGGAGAAGAGGTGATTTTGAGGTTGATAACATTGAGCTTCTCTTCAAGTGTTATATCCTTTCTTTTCCGATAATCACCGGAATTCTATCATCAGGCTTTTTGGAGATATTCTTCTTTACCATATTCACAGTTAATACCACAAAATTGGAGAAATAGTAAGCAAAATCACATAGCAAATAGCGTTCGCGTTATACAAATATTGTTCGAATTCATAAATCGCGTTAGAGCAAATTAGCGTTATCAAAACCCAGCGTTATAGCAGAACTCCCTGTAAGTACAAGTATAAATAAAAAGTTTATGTGATGATCGGACAACGTCCATTTCAGTTAACGTCACATTTCAAAGGCATTATCTAGGGCGTTAACCGGCGCATGACAGTATATGTATATAAATAGATATTTTCACATATTCTCTTTTAGTGAAGACAGGCCGGAGGCGCCCGACATTCACTGAGTGACTTAAAGGCAAGGGATAGTCACAACGATCTAACGACACGCAAAGAAAATGTGTTTTGGTCGCCATGCTGACCCAAAGTCTATAAGAAAATGTCCCAAATACAATAAATGAGAGACATAACAAAATAAAAGTCACTCTACTTCATCACTGTGCTATTAAGTACAAATACCGTATATAATATCCTTGCGGAGGTGAGTATTTGAGCAATTAGAACACAAATTCGCGGAGCTTCCCTTTGTGTGTATTATAGCGAAGCGCCAGGCAAGAGATGAGTTTCGTGATGCGTATGGTGGGGGGTGAAGGAGGGGGTTTGAGAATTGCAATTAAATGCCAGGTAGCGACGTGTCCTTCTAATATTATTTATTAAGTAATTATTAGATGTTTTAATTGCCTGTATGTTGGCCTGGCAAATTGGCTAGGAATTAACATACCTAGTTAGCATTTGCTGATGTCGCATTAAAGCTATATCACAAAAACTGTTTTTTAGAAAAAAAGTCTTTTTTTTTACCCATAATTTAATTTCCAAAATCGGGTGCGCCTTCCACGATGCAGCGTCTTCCAAGCCGAAAAAAATGGTTGTTGTATTGTGGTGTAGTAATATTGTAAAATAATGCTATGATTATGTTATAGATGTATTTATCGGAATTATTATTATTTTATTCATTACTTGCTCTACCAAACACAATGACAGACTGGCGACCGACTGGTAAGTGTTGCCAAGCACTTTTATAGAAAAATACTGCAAATAAAATATTCTAAATAAATTATTTGTAGCAAATAAGTATTAAGATCAGTAAATATATGCATTGGCCATCTCGGACACAAAGGCGAGCTAAAATTAGCTGCTAAGTGTGTAGGGACCACGAGCGTCAGCTGTCAACCCAACACTGTCCCCTTCCTCCGCGCGGCCAAGGAAGTTTCTAGAGGGTCAATATATAGTTTTTCTTACTTATTTTTTATTGTTTTATCATTTAAAAAGGTTGAGAATTATTTTGGAAAAGTTGATTTTTCTTGATATACCCCTCGCTGGGGGGGGCTTACTGCCAGAGAGCACCTAACCCGGGGCTTAAGGGTTAATAACTCATGTCTGCATGATCGTCATTCTCAATTCCGAGTGACAGCATAGTAGTAGTAGTGTGCGTGAGAGAGAGAGATAACAATTACCAGTTTATTGAAAAAGTTCTGCAGCCCAAAGACTGAAAATATACATTGGGCATAAATGATTTATTACATACTTTGACATGGAGGGGAGGGTTAACAAAAGCTTTCCATAGAGAAAGGAAAAGGAAAAACAGTGAACATAAAAAGTAATGTTTACAGTAGAGATCACGTAGGTCACATGCACTGAGGTCTTGAACAGCAAACACATAGTGTAGTACTGTAATTCCTTCATAGATGATATTATTTGGAGCCTGATGTAGTGTAGTTATTTCATCACAGATCATGTTATGAGGAACCCAATGTGGTGTAATAATTCCTTCACAGATTGTGTTATGAGGGACCTCACATGATTTTTTTACATGGGGATTAGCCCACCAGGGCATAGATCATGACCCACATCCGGGCCTGGGGGCAAAAATGTAATAATAATAATAATTCATAGTAAAGTAAAATAAATATTAATGGTAATAATGATAATAACAACACTGTGATAATAATAATAATAAAAACAAAGAAATACAAGAATGAAAAAAAATCAATAGTGAGGAATGCAATATGTTTGTTGTGCTGTCATGTAAGAGAAACAATTGAGACCCTGCAATTGTGTGTAAATGAGTCGGAAAGACAGATGAGCAACCTGGGACTTGGTCACAATTTTCGTGATGCCATATGGCAGCAGGGTCTACCATTAGACAACACATTATGCTTCCAATATCTTCCCTGGCGGTAGTACCTCCCTGTTTAGTATCTGCCTACTACCTACTGTTGCTACTGTTGTAGCAACTCATTCACTACGTGGTGTCGTAGCATCATGGGAACACCACGTGGCCTGGTGTCGCAGGACTTCACTCACTGAAGTTGTGTACAGTCAGATGCAGTGTCAGGCTTCTTATCGTGGGACGGATTAACACATCACTGCTTGTTGTTGGGTGTTGGGGGCAGTTATCACTGGGTACCTGGGATATCACTGGTTAAACACTGTTTGGCACTGTTCACCACTGGTTCCACTCCTTTCCAAAATGAAATTGTAACTTTTAGTGAGACATTGCTGAAATTCCGGTGGTGAGGAGAGGTTGAGGGGACGGAGGTGGGCCAACATTGCAGTTAGCTCGGCAGCTGCCAGAGCCGTGCCAGATAGGTCTTGACCCTGCATTGGTCAAGGATGTAGTGTGTGTTTGTGTGTGTATGTATGTTTGAGTCCATCTTATGAGAATATGTGACCACTTACAAGTAGCAAATTATAATGCACAGTATACCTTTCTGTATTGAACTTCGAGAAGTATACAGTACAGTCAACCCTCACTTTACGCGGGCCCACATTCTGCGTTTCCTCGTTTACACGGTGCCCTGCCAGAACCCAGGATGCTCACATTCCGCGGTGGGTGTACCCCTTTACACGGGTGAAGTATAATTTTTTTATTTAGCTCATAAAATTCATACAAATTATCCGGCCAGAATATAATTTACATTGCTGGAATTCTTACAATTTGATGATCATTTGAATAAACATCATAGATTTTGCATTAGACATAAATTTTAGATATAATGTTTACTCTGAGTAAATATGTTATCTTTTGTGCAAAATATATGACATTTATATTCAAAATATTCCCTGGTCTTACAAGGAATCCAGCAATGTCAATTATATTATCCTAACTTTAGTTTGAGGTATTATTTATTACTATACCTGGTTTTCCCCAAAATTTCTCAGAGAGGAAGAGCCAGCGAGTGTAGTGTGAGAAGAGGGGAGGGAGTTGAGTCCATTATTTGAATGGACATTAACTTGGCGACTGTATTTCTCTATTTCTCTTAGTATTAATTGTGTGCATGTACCATCATAAAATTAAGATGTTATTTTTACTAGAACATAGGTATTGTGTTGGAAAAAATGGAGGTTTGGGGGTCAGCTGGTCTCTATTTCATTTAATCCCATATGTTATGTTATTCACTTTACGCATTTCTCACTTTCCGCGGTACCCTGTGGGTTACATTAACCGCGTAAAGTGAGGGTTGACTGTATTAAGAATTTCACTGAATGCCTCTCAGCGAGTAGAATCATTTAAAATAGTCAACAGCTGTCTTTATGTACTGTACATGTCATCGTCACACATAAATTCATGATACACAATAGTTAAGATAAGGAAATTAATGAAAATATCTTATAAACTTATTTTGTAAGTATTATTTAGATTTTGTAAACAAACATAGAAGGCCACAACCATCGTAAAACTGATCATAACAATTGCATAGCAGTAAACGGTGTTAAATTTTTAGCATCGTAAAACTGATCAATCCTATATAGATCCATTGTATAATGGTCAAACCTGTGCAGTAGTTACCGTATAAATACAGTAAAGTTTTCAATAACACTGGTACAAATATGGAAAATTTTAGTTCTCAGTTCAATAAATGTATAATATGTCTTTTGTTCCAGGTGAAAAGCCATTCAAGTGTGGTTACTGTGAAAAGAGATTTACCCAAAATGGCAATCTTCAGGAGCACATTAGAATCCACACAGGAGAAAAACCGTATTGTTGTGAAACTTGTGGCAAAAAATTCACAACATCCTCACAGGTAAATATATATTACATCTTCTGCAGTTAATTTAATATACTTTTCTCCTCGACTTACGACATACTCGACCTACGACCACTCGCGACCTGCCTCAGTCGGTACGACCACCCACACATCCGACCGCCGCATGATCGGTACCAAAATTTTCAAATGGGCCCCGTATTTCCTAGACAGAAACGTTTCCGTCCCGTACAAGAACGTCGCGTGGGCTGGATCGCCTCGTGGCTACAGCACCCACGCCATAAACGCTTAGTTGGTGTTTGGCTGTCGTTGTAATCGATAGTGATCGCGCTGTGTACTGACAATATTTTCGTTTCTTATTCACTTTAGAATGACTGGCAAGCGTAGAAGTGAGAGTGCTGGTGGTGCTCAGAAGAAAAGAAGACAGTCAATTACTTTTGAGATGAAAAAGAAGATAATAATGCAGTATGAAAATGGAAAAATGGTAGCAACCATTTCACGAGACCTAGGCTTCTCGCGCTCGACCATATCGACAATTTTGAAGGACAAGGAATGTATTAGGTGAGGTAGTGAAAGGATCAGCACCTATAAAGGGAACAATAATAACGAATAAAAGACAAGGTCTTATTCATGAGATGAAGAAATTACTTTTGATATGGATGGAAGATCAGATACAAAAGCGTGTACCCTTAAGCCTTCTAAACCTACAGGCTAAGCCAAGAAGCCTTTTCGAAAGCCTGAAGGAGCATGCAGGAGATGAGTGCGACCAAACCTTCACAGCAAGTCATGGGTGGTTCCAAAGGTTTAAGAACTGCTACAGTTTGCATAGTGTAAAGGTGAGTGGAGAGGCAGCAAGTGCTGATGTGGGTGCTGTCAAAAGTTTTAAAGAGGACCTAGATCGTGTCATAGTGGAGGGAAACTATTTTCCTGAGCAAATATTTAAACTATTTTCCTGAGCAAATATTTATTGTGGATGAAACTGGCTTATTATGGAAGCGCATGCCAGAACGGACATACATCCACAAAGAGGCGAAAACCAAGCCGGGATTCAAGGACTGAATCATACTTCTGTTGAGGAGGAGGAATGTAGCTGGTTTCAAGATAAAGCCCTTGATATATCATTCAGAGAACCCAAGGGCTTTTAAACATGTCAGCAAGCACACACTGCCAGTGTTTTATTGCAGTAACAAGAAAGCATGGATGTCCCGAGTACTGTTTGAGGATTGGTTCCTGACTTTTTTCATTCCACAAGCCAAGGAGTATTGTCTGCAACAAGGATTGCATTCAAGATTTTGTTAATTTTGGGTAATTCTCCGGGACACCCACCACACCTGGACGACCTGCACCCTTATGTTAAGGTAGTCTACATTCCACCTAACACTACCTCTATCATCCAACCCATGGATCAAGGTGCTATTGCTGCTTTTAAAGCAAATTATTTATGTACGACCTTCGCTCAGGCTGTTGCTGCTATTGAAGGTGAGAAAACGCTCAGAGAGTTTTGGAAGGACTACAACATTTTGAAATGTACAAAGAACATAGGTACAGCATGGGATGAGGTTACAGGTCAGTGCATGAATGGAATATGGAAGAAAGTCCTGGAAAGATATGCGAACAGTTTCAGAGGACTTAATGAAGATGAAGTAATTTCTGCAATTAGTATCAAGATAGTGGAGTTGGGTAAACAACTGGATTTAGAAATTGATAATGAAGATGTTGAGCAGTTGGTTGAAAGTGTAGCAGAAGAGCTAAGTAATGAGGATCTTATTGAACTGGAAGCACAGAAAATTGCAGAGGAAGAAGAGAGTCAAAATGTAGAAGAACCTGCAACCCCCCAAGCTTTTTCAGTGAAACAAATGGCAGAGGCATTTGCAGGGCCGAATTCAGGAGTGGGCAAAGTGGGCAGCTGCCCAGGGGCCTCCACAATCTGGGGGCCTCCACATATTACAATATTTTATTTATTTGTTTATTCATTTGGATTATTTTTATTTTCATTCTTTAAAATTCATGTTTATCTATTCCATCACGTAAAACTATGTTTAGCAAGAAGCGTGATAGAAATAAGGCTAGCTACTCCTTGAAATGCATGAATACCTGGTTTTCCTATGAACCGTATATTTTTAATGAATGCTATTGTTCGTGTTGCTAATAATATATTTGGAATTTCACAAACATATATTGATTAAAAATGAACTACATAGAATAACGAAATTGAGATTAAAAAAAAAACACAAAATATTTTTTTCATTATCACTTCCATTACGAATGCCATCAAGGCGCTGTGTTTGTTGACAGTCGGTCGGAGGGGGTTGGGTCGTGTAGTATCTGCACATCGGTTGTCATGTGTCTGTCGATTAAAGAGGAGACTTGCGTCGCTCATGATTCGTGAACTTCCCATGAGTAGACATAAACATGTCTTGCAGATGTAAAATGAGAGAGAGAATTGTCATGTGTGCTTGTTGAGTGAAGTCGTCGCCGCTCAGTGATGAATGATCTTGTCATTTGTCATTTCCTAGAACATGTCTTGCAAATGTTTTACTATTGGATGCAAAACTTCAATTTTCTTTATAGTTGAGTTAATACTTATTCTGAATCTATCTGACCTTGGACTTAAAGAAGCCTATACATGCATTCTTGGACAGAACCATTATTTGAGTAGAGGCTTATCTGATTAATAATGCAAAGAATCATCTCTCAGTAATAACTAATAATATATTCTTTTCTGTGAAGTCTCTTGAAAATTTTTGACATGTGCAGTAGTCGCTATATCAGGCTGGTCGACTTGAAACCACATGAATGACCCCAGTCATGTCTCACTTTTGTGTGTGTGTGTGTGTGTTGGGAATTTGTACACTCAATAAATATACAGTTAATTCAAAATTTCTCAATGTTCTAATTTCCTCAATATAACTGCATATGGTTTCAAAATTCTCCAAAGAAGTGTTCAAATTTCAAAATTTTCCCGGGGGGCTTACAGCACTGCCCGGAACTCCCAGATGTTTAGCCTCGCTTCACTCACCACCCCACCCTCTTGGGTAGTTATAATGAGGGGGCCTCCACAAAGAGGCTGCCCATGGGCCTCCACAGGTCTAAATCCAGCACTGGGCATTTGCTACAATTAATAAGGGGATGCAAATGTTTGACGGAATGGATCAAAATGTTGAGCGTTTTGCAAAAGTTGACAGAATGATCCAAGATGCACTTGCTTGCTACAGTGCAGTCTAAATTGGACATAAATTTTAAGAAGTCCCCCATTGCTGTCTCCTCACGCCTCACCAGTGCTGCCTCTTCACTCCGTAAAGATGATCCAATACCTTCAACCAGCAAGTTTCCCCTGTATATTAACCTGTCTGAAGAAAGCGACATTGACCCACCCAGCCCTGTCTCCTCCTCTGCATCATCCAATTAATGTAGTCTCCATGTATAATTAGAAAATTATGGGGGCCCCATGTGCATTGAGCTGACTACATTAAAGGTAAGTGCACAGTAACACTGTATTTATTCTTCATTATTGATTGCCTTTACTGTACTGTATTTCAAATTTAGATTCTTTCAACCAACCAGATCAATCCAATCCTGAACTGAGGAATGTCCAATCCAGATCCAAATAATACTGTGAGATTGAATACAACTTTTTTCACACCAATTTCACTTGATTCAATGTTCATTTGCTCTTAAAAGACTTTTCTTGGCAATACGGCCCCAGAAATTGCCATACCTTCTGATCGCTTTAAAGCTCCATATGGGCACTTAAATTTGCCAATCACCAAAACCTTAATTTTATGCTGACCTGAAGCATTAGCACATGTAAGAACTGTTAATATTTCCTTATTAAGCTTAAACCCTGTTGCATTTCGTTCTTGGTTTCCAGCCAAAGTTTTTGTGGGCAAACACTTCCAGTAAACCCCTGTTTCATCAGCATTGTAAATTTGATCGGCTGTGAGTTCATAGTCAGTTACAATTTTTTCAAATATAGCACTATATTTTGTTGCTGCTTGTGTATCAGCCGACTGTCTTTCTCCAGCAATATCTAACTGTCTAATACCGTGACGAGTTTTGAAATTCCTAAGCCATACATCACTAAATGCTCACTCTGATTCAATGTTCATTTGCTCCTTAAAAGACTTTTCTTTGGCAATAAGCATCGGCCCCAGAAATTGCCATACCTTCTGATCGTGTAAGATTGTACCATCGTACGATATGTTTTCCCATGTTGAGATGGGGGCTTGTCTTTGGCAGCGCCCGGTTGCCAGTCTCCAGCTGACGCTGTTAGAATAAAGTCTATAAAGAACGTGGTCTATGACTCCAACCTCTCACATGGCGCACAGTGAGTAGGATATGTCGGGGCCCGACACGCCATTACAGCCCTGACAAGAACGCTGACATGGCCCCTACACGTCCACGATTCTCGACGCCCTCAAGGGGATGCCAGGGCTTCTCTACACCGGCTGGGAACACCATGCGCGCCCAGCAGCAGGCCATGAGTGCATTGATGGCTCAGATGGCGTCTCTAGGTGCTGGCGGTGGTCATGCTTCTATGCCGGTCATGAAGCCCTCAGCAGCTGTCGCTCCAGAGAAGTGTGAGACAGAAATGCCAGCAGCTGCGTTTAGGACATGGAGGCGGTCCATGGAGTCATGGGTGCTGTTGAACGGGTGGCCACAACTGGTGGCCACACTCCACATTCGCCTGAACTGCGTCCCCGCACTCCAAAGGGTGATTGACTCGAGATACCCCAGCGGTCAGTGGGAGCAGCTCTCGCCCAAAGAAGCCCTGGACGCCATCAGTGGAACGGTTCTTCAATCTTCAAACCAAGCTGTGAAATGGAACGAGTTTTTCAACAGCAAACAAGGTGAAGAGGAGCCCATGAAAAGGTATTTTCAACGATGCTTCTCAGAGGCAGTGGAGTGTGAATTTAAATGTCCCACCTGTGATAACGACCTCTCTGAGTACATGCTATTACGTAAAGTTATGGTGGGCCTGAGTAACCCAGTGTTGAAAAGGGAAATTTTCCAGGGGTACTCTAGTTATAATAGTGTTG